AAGACTCAGTAATTCAAAGGAAGTATTTTCAGCCACTTTGCCAATCTACAGCTAACTGCTGCAACTGACGACACAGAAAGGACAAGTTCTCACAATATCCAAATATGCACAGATCTTATGTTGCTTGGGTTTGAAAGTTTGCCCAAAGAGTATACTTGTCACCACAAATGCTTTCTGACCTGTAATGCGATTCTAGCACTTTATGCCTTTGTGCCATAAAGTGCACTATATTAAAGCCAATTATTTTAAATAAAAGCCTTAGGTATTTTACAAAAGAAGAAAATTTTACAAAGGGGAGGCGACGGCCTAGTGGTGTTATTGCTGGACTGTTAATCCAGAGACCCAGACAAAATTCTGGGAACCCAGGTTCGAATCCTGCCATGGCAGATGGGGGAATTCGAATTTAAAAAATATCCGGAATTAAGAATCTAATGATGACCGAGAATCCATTGCCGAAAAACCCATCTGGTTCACTAATGTCCTCAGAAGGAAACTGCCATCCTTACCTGCTCTGGCCTGCATGTGACTCCAGACCCACAGCAATGTGGTTGACTCTTAACTGCCCTCTGGGCAATTGGGGATAGCTAGTGACGCCCTCATCCTGTGAATGAATAAAGTAAAAAAAGGTACTAGAAATCTGAAGCAAAAATATGTTAGAAACACAACCACAACCTCTATTTAAATAGCACTTTATGTATCCTAGGGTGTAAAATAAAATTCCAATTCCAGTCACTAGAGAATTTCAGTTGGTAGATTGCTGGATAACACCAGGTTAATTGCATATGAAATATACTATATTACTGTACTGTATAACAATACAAACAATTTAGGAACAGAAATGAGGCTGAGTTTTTAGGTTATCTATTGTGGATTAGAGACACGTAAATTGGTGAGAGAATTGGGTAAGGAAATTTAGATTTCCTTGTACATAAATCTGTAAAACATAAGTGTATAAATAAAGAAGTATTGTAACCTAAAAGGTTTATGTAATACGAGAGTGAGCGAGTGATTCTTTCATGCAACAAGGTTTTGGGAATACCCTGTACGAAAGACAACATTCAGTTTTCGGCACTGAACATCAGGATAGATATATAGGGTTGCAAGATGTCCTGTGCTAATTAACTAGAATTTCACTCGGGTTTAAAATGTTACGTGTTGAAAATTTGTGGCATATATTTATATTTTATTCCCTTAAATTTAGAAGTTGGAGGGGTAATATTAGATGGATTAATTAAGTGAAAAATTATTTCCATTGGTTGGAAAATTTGGAACCAAGGAAATAATCTTCAAATTAAAGCCAAGCCATTTAGGAACTTATGAAGCACTTCTTGCATAGGAAGGGTATCAAAAATCTGGAAACTGCTCCTTCACAAGCCTGTTTATATTTGTGTTTTTTTAAAAAAGTTCAAGCATAAGATTGGTAGATGTTTGTTAGACAAGAGTATTGAATGTGGATTGGATAAATCATGCTCTGATTGAATGGCGGTACAGTCTCAACTGAATATCGTTCTTTTGATTTTTTTATCCCAATTTTTAATGCAATTAGTCAACATCTGTATTTCATTATAGTTTCTGCACCAGTTGTGCCTGAGCTAAGTAGTGACATCGACACTAGCAATTTTGATGATCTGGAAGAAGATAAGGGCGAGGAAGAAACATTTCCTGTACCAAAGGCCTTTGTTGGCAATCAGTTACCTTTCGTAGGCTTCACATATTACAGAGACTATCAGTAAGTATAATAAGGTTGAAATACAAGCATCTTGCGTTAAGGAAGATGCAAAGCTCTCTGAATGCAACATGTACTTCATTAATAAAGGGACATAAATTTATAAAATCAACAATAATACCTGAATGAACAACTACTCATTTTCACTGATAAACCACCACCTAAGTTTTCCATATTTCTTCTACTCTGCTTTGTGTGCCTACAGTATCGTGTTAACCTCACCTACAACATAATTTCTCATACTTAGCTGCACCTTGACTTTTTCATCTTGTAACCTTTTCATCTCTGGACTATCAACAATTGACTTGACAGTATTTGCTTCATTTTAGAGTCGACCTCTATCTCTGGATAAACATTTTCTGCCATACCCCTTGCTTGCACCTGTCGTGACATTACTACTGTTAATGTTTTCTGCTATTAGCCTACCGTTGTGCCCTTGCCTTATTGCTATTCAACCCCACGTCTTGAGAGATATAATCTCCATTTTGGACAAAGATCCTAAAGGCTTCCAATTTGAGTGCACCTGCTGTTAATTTACTGCTCATCTCGGTCAAGTATTTCAAATATTCTCTCAACTTGCTCTTGGCCAAATCTTCCCAATGGTCTTCGATTATTCTAGAGTGTATATATAGGCAATTGACAGATCTTGATGAAAAATTATCCCCTCTAGCCCTGTTGCTCCAGATTGCCTTCTCGTTTCTAATACCAAGTAAAGAAAACTTGTGAATTGCTTTAATTTGGAGAATAAGATATATCCAAGTTCCTTCCCATTCCTGACTATTCTTCTGTCCTAATTCACCCCAGCTATAAAATGCTGCCATCTCAATCTCTCAATTGCCGGCCCATTTTGATACTGCCCAGTCAATGTGACCCAGCTTTGAAGTCATCCCATCTGGCTCCTAACCACTTAATTATGTTTTTTACGCTTTTACTAATAGATACCTACATTTTGCCCTCCAAGCTATGCATTTAATTTCATTTTTAGCGAAAGGGTATGAAGGACAAGATAAAGTAACTAGGGATGATGTATTTATTTCAACAGAGGAGTCAAAAATGGGGGACATAGATTTAAAGCAATTAGTACAAAAATTAGCAGGGACACCAGGAAAAACATTTAACCCAGAGGAATGAACTTCCTGGAAAGGTGGTAAAGGCAGAAACTGTGACCACTTCTTTAAGAAAATGTTGAATTCAAAACTTCTGGAAGAGCCATGATCTGCTCGGCTCTGTCCTAATGCAGGAAGCTGGAATTAGATTGGTGGTTTTTCACTGATTGGCAAATCCAGGGTGGGCTAAATGACCATGTAGTGTGTCATGATTTTTAAAAATTTCTATGGTTCTGTTTTTTTCAATCCAGTTTCTGCTTTGTTTATAGCACCAAGTCTACTTGGTCAGAAAGTCATGTACAATATTATCTATGGTTACATGATGGCATGTTCTTTCAACAACACGGTGATTGTAGTGTTTTTTTCGCATTCATCTCCAATTTCAACTCCATAGGATTGTTCTGCTAGTTTCAACCTGGAGTTGAACCAGTGTAGCCAAGATAATCCCATTGTTAATTTCTGTTTCTGCCCTTATGTCACAACTCATTTGCCTTTATCTTATCTTAGATTTTCTGTCCTCCCCAGAGCAGACATTTTGCATGAACCAGTATTCCATTTCTTCAAATCTGAGATCTAAACCTCAAGTTGCTAGTCTCCAACAACATTTTATGCATCTTTGTGGTTGCCTTCACCTGGCCCGTTCGACTGTTGGCATCCTTAACCATACTTTAATCATGTGGTAAATTTATTTCTCTCACAGTGTTAAGATGTCGAACGTTTTCAAGCTTAGGCTATTCTTATTCCACGTGTTTCCTTGACCCAATATTCCAACCTCACTAATGCCCCCAGTACCCCCATTCATTGTATTTAGAATCTCAACTAAACACTTTCATAGCATCACCCCATTCTACTTGCACAACATTTTCCAAAATTAACTGCCCTGTTTTTGTTCTGTTCACCTCTGACTATGGTCTTTTCTGTATTCCCTACTTATTCCTTTAAATCAGGAAACTTACTCTTGCACTGCTGTACCTTTACTTGCTTCAGCTTCTTTGAATATAGAATTTGAGCCACACGGTGCCTGTTTTTCAGGCATAACTTTGAGGCAGAGAAGAAGCAGTTTTGCTATGTTATGTCTTGCTTTCGAATCATAACTGTTACCATGTTAAATGTTAGCATACCTTTTACCATGTTTGACTGGGCAGTTTTAAAGTGTCCTTGGTGGCTACCTAAAATAGGCCTTGGCTGCTTGGATGTGTTAGAGGGGTCTAGCACTCATCTCAGGCTCCCCTCCAAGTTGGACTGAATTGTTCATACTACAGCTTTCCTACATTGTACATGGCCTAAAAAATATCTGCCAACATAGTGTGCTGTGGAGTGCAACAGTGAGACAAGCTCGTCAATTGATTTCTTTAAATGCATACAAAAGTTTGCTTCTTGGATCTTTCTGCTTCTCCTATTCATTTTAAAAACTTAATCAAAACCCATCTCTTAAAACAAGTTTAAGTTACCATCCCACATTCTTATACTGTGCTCAACTCCTTGGGATTTTTTTTTATATTGAGTTTTTACATTTGCAAGTCTTTTTTGTGTTTCCTTGTGTTAGGTGGCTAGTTGCACATTTTCTCATACTACTTTAAATAGCCTATGCTTTCTTGCATTTTTATATTCTATTTGTATTTTCTCATGCGTTCTGTCAAAGGCATTTTAAGACTGTATAAACCAAAATAAGTGCTATTAAGTTAACTTCAGACAAATTCAAGGTCTCTTTAAAAATGTTATAGCCTATAGTTGCTTTGTATTAAGAACGACCGGTTTGATTTGACTTCCAGCATTCACTGTTTCCATGTGCCAATTTCTTGAAATGCTTACATAAATTCTTCAGTATTTTCATTATTTTTATAGGAACTCATCTGGTACTTCTAGACCAGCCAGTGACTGTAGAGAGAATTCCACTGTAGACAATAGTCAAGTAAGGATCTTATGTTGTTGCTTTTGGGTGATAATATTTGAATACTGTATAAAACAAAAAAAGTTATGATTGTTCACGTCACTATCCTAATTATGTTGCACTCTGCAATCTAGAAAAAAACTATTTTTGTATAAATTATTTGTCAAAACATGAGTTCTTGTCTCAAGCCAGTTTTTATGAAATAATAATCTGTGTTTTTGGAACGGTGTGAAAGGAACAGAATGAGAAAAACACCATCACTAACATTCATCTCAGGATTTTCTTTTAGGTGGCTTTACAGACTTTGCAAAGCTGAAGTAGAGTGCAAGTTAGGTTTATGGTATTTAAAAAGGAAGGTGTACAATAAAAGTAATGAATAATGTAGAACTTGTGGTAAGGATGTGAAATGGAGATTAGCAGGATGAAAGTGAATGTTATAAAGGCTTATAACATTATAAAGGTTATAAGGGACACAGGTAGGGTAGATAGGAAGAAACGTTTCCCCTTGGTGGAGGGATTGATGACCAGGGGCATAGATTTATGGTAAGGGGCAGAAGTTTAGAGGGGATGTAAGGAAAAACCTTTTTACCCAGAGCTCACTGCCTGTGATGTGGAAGAGGCAGAAACATCATAAGATGTATTTAGATATGCAGTTATGATGCCAAGCCATACATGGGCAAAGGCTCAGTGCTAAAAAATGGGGTGACCAGTGCGGACTCTGTGTGCCGAAGGGCTTTTTTCTATCCTGTAGATATGACTGTAAAGGCTGATAAGTAAATAAAAACAAACATTGTGTCTTTGGAAGAATAAAATAATGAGTGCAGATGTAACTGCTTCGGAATGAAAGGGGTGATTTAGCTCTGCAGAACAGAAGTAGAAAAAGCTATTTGATTACAGTGAGCTCATGGTTATTATTAATGGTATCATGAGATTGGAATGAGCTGATAAATGGTTTACCCCAGGAACTGGTGCTGGAAATGGTTTTGTTGTTGACGCATGATTTGGTTTTGAGCACAGGGAGCACAATATCAAAATGTATTGGTGATGCAAAATAAGGGTGTTTTGCAAATGCAATCAGAATGGTAAACGAGTTAAGGAGCACGTAACAGGTTAGGGGAGTTACCGGACTAGTGGAAGATGTAATTAAGTGTGGGTAGGTGTGAAGTGATACATTTTTTATGAAAACATGTATATTGAAGAAATCTTGAAGTTCAAATGATAGTTCTCTACAGGTATGAGTGCAAGTTGATTTTTTAAAAATCATTTGGAGTTTTAGAGTAATGGCTTGAAGTACAAGAGTAAAGTATTATGATGAGTTTGTTCAATTTTGGGTACCCCATTTAAAAAAAAGTGCCCCTTTTTAAAGTCAAAGGGAGCATATAGCCCAAGTTTAATGCCCAGGGATAAGAAAATGTAATTATAAGAAAGAAATTACTATTTCTGCTGGTATCCATGATGTGGAGTGCTGGGGTAGACAAAGTCAGAAGTTACGCGTTACAAAGTTACAGTCCAACATGTTTATTTGAACTCACAAGCCGTCGACGCGCTGTTCCTCATCAGGTGGTCTTCATCAAACAAAGGAGCAGCACTTTGACAGCTTGTGATTTCAAATAGACCTTTTGGACTATAACCTGGTGTCATATGATTTCTGACTCTTTCTACTGGAGCAGAGAAAAAAAGATGTATTTTTATAAAAGGATGCTTGTATATTTAAGGACTTTACAAGTTGTGTAAAGAAATTTAAAAAAACACTTTGATTTTGTTTATTGCTTTTAAGACCCTGAGACATCTCAAAGCATTTTACAGCCAATGTACTTTTGAGCTTAGTCACAGTTTTAATGTGGGAGATGTGCCAATCGATCTGCAATCAACGAACTCTCACTAACAGTTTTGTGATAATGACCAGATACTGTTTTTGTAATGTCGATTGAGTGATAAATATTAGCCAGGACACCAAGAGTATTTCCCTCTACTTATTTTTGTTGTAGTTGTTTTACATTTCACCCAGAGAGGCAGATTGGGACTGAGGTTATGTCTAATCCAAACAATAGCACTTCGTATAGCTCTGCTGTAGAGTGCCAATTTTAATTTATGCTCAACCTCAGAGTGAGACTTGAATTTCATAAACAGTTATGAAGGTGTCAACTGAAACAAGTGAAATTTCTTCCAGACAAGAATTGGTTCAGCAAGTTTATCTACTATCTACTGAGTTCCTGAGCTATATATACCAATATATTCTATTTTTAATTCAGCCTGTAGTTGTTTTCATCCAAACACGAGTGAGACCCACTAAAATTATTACATTGATCCTAGTTTAGGGAGGAGAAGAATTGTCCAGGGTTTCTGCTGATCATCACTATCTGGTAACCCCTGCTGCACGTGCATAGATATCAGATGGCAAACCTATCAAATGTGACAGTTATATGAGGAAGTGCTGTATACGGATGGATAAAACCCTTGTTGCTTCATCTAAATAATGTACTGAAAGCAACCTCACAGGAATCATTTGAGTGGCAGTTCATGGAGGGTTTATGGCCCTCTATCAAAGGATGACTTCACTCACTTGTACTTGGATGTGCATTTTCATGTTAAAACTAAATTTGTGATTCAGTCCTAAACTATTCGCCACAAATTATGGACAGCTTATAAAGAATATTCAACCCATACCATGTTTATGCCGATTGTAACTGTAAAAACTACTTTACCTTGAAGGAATCTCTGTAAACATTTTTTATCTAAATTAATTTGAATTTAACTACATTACTTGAAATCTTCAAATTCTGTCTGTTGTAAGTAAACTGTATTGTGAAATTGCCTTAAAGTTACAAAACTGTTGTTCAGTATTTTTGTGATTTAATGCTAGTGGCACGAACTGACAGAATTGCAAGTCACAAATTGTTTATGATGTAGAGGTGCCAGTGTTGGACTGGGGTGGACAAAGTCAGTAGTCACATGACACCAGATTATAGCCCAACAGGTTTATTTGAAATCGGAGATAGTAGGAACTGCAGATGCTGGAGAATCTGAGATAACAAGGTGTAGAGCTGGATGAACACAGCAGGCCAAGCAGCATCAGAGGAGCAGGAAGGCTGACGTTTCGGCATAGCCCCTTCATCAGATGACAAAGGGGCTATGTTCCAAAAGCTTGAAATTTCAAATAAACCTATTAGACTATAACCTGGTGTCGTGTGACTTCTGCCAAATTATTTAAATTAACAGTCGTATGCATAAAAACAAATTAAAATTGTGCACATAAATATGCTCCATACATTACATGCTCTATATATCATATGCTCCATAAAAATGCATCTCTGAAGCATGATACTCAACAACATTAATAATGGAAAAACAGCATTATTGAGAATATATTATAAAAATTACAATTATTTTTTCAAGCTAGTTAGTTAATTCTTATCTATGTAATCTAATCACTTTAGAGGAGGTGACTTGATCATTCACTGCATTTGTTACAAGAACATTGCCAAAATGCCGTCTTGCTCAATTTGTAGTGCTTTCCAAGATCAACCTTGATCTCTATGAATGGCAGCATGGGTTTAAAGGTCTGAATGGCCTACTCCTGGCCCTGTATCTTATAAGACCATAAGAAGTAGGAACAGGAGTAAACCATTCGGCCCTCAAACCTGCTCTGCCATTCAATAGTATCATAATCCGACATTCGTCATGTACACTTTCCTGTGTTTTCTCCATAACCCTCGGTTCCTTTATTGATCAGGAATCTATCTATCTATCTCAGCCTTAACTATACTCAAGATCTCTGCCCCCACTGCTATTTGTGACAAGGAGTTTCAAAACCACACAACCCTCTTAAAAATAAATTCCTTCTCACCTCAGTCTCAAATTGGCTTCCTTTATTCTGAGACTATGCCCTCTGGTCCTAGATTGTTCCTTAATTGATTTCAACAACAGATGTTGGGCAAATTGGCCTATAGTTCCCTCCTTTATTTCCTCCCTCACTTTTTGAATAGGAGTGTCACATTGGCAGTTTCCAATCTTCCTGTACTTCTCCAAAATCCAAGGACTTTTGGAAAATTACAACCAATGCATCCACTATCTCTGTAGCTACTTATTTTTAGATGCACGGATGCAAGCCATCAAGGCCAGGGATCTTATCTGTAATTAGCCACATTAGTTTGTCTAATACTTACCTCTCTAGCAATGGTGATAGTACTTAATTTCTTCCCTGTATTCTTTAGTGTTAATGGAGTATTCAAACTATCTTCCTCCATAAAGACTGCATCAAAATATCTGTTTAACTCCTCTTCCATTTCATCGTTCCACAGATTCATTTTCTAAGGGGCCTATGTTTGCTTTGACCTTTCTTTTCCTTTTTAAACAATTAAAAAAGCTCTTATTATCAACCTTTTATATTCTCGCTACTTTGCCCTATAGTTTATTTTCTCTATCTTTATCATCTTTTTAGTCCTATTTTGCTGCATTCAGAATTTGTCCCAGTATTCAGGCTATCACTGACTTTGGCCTACGTAAATGCTTATTCTTTCAATTTAATACTCTTTCTAACTTCCTTGCTTAGCCATGGTTGGTTTATCCCTCTCTTAAAATTTTCTGTTTACTGGGATGTAGCTTTGCTGGGAGTCATGAATTCCCTCCTTAATTGTCTTTCCTGCTAATCTGCCTGTCCAGTCCACTTTTAATAACTATCTTGATTTCATTGTAATTCCCTTTATTTAAGTTAAACACAGTTATTTTTGGCCCAAGTTTCTCACAATCAGATTAAATATTAAATGTTATCATATTATGATCACTGCTTCCAAGGGAATCTTTTACCCTGAACCTGCCTCATTAACTCATTACCACATCCAGGATAGCCTGTTCCCTCACTGGTTCCACAACTTATTACTCTCGGAAACTATCCTTAATGCACTCTATGAATTCATTATCATGAGCTATCCTTTCCAACTTGATTGACTGAGTCAACATGAAGATTAAAGTCGCCCATAATTATTGCTCCTTTTTTTTTACATGAACTTGTTGATTTGTACCCTTTCCTACAGCGTGGCTACTGCTTGGGGGTTCCCACCATTCCTACCTATGTCGTCTTTCTCTTGCTCATACTTACGTCCACCCACATGAACTTGAATTCATCTGAACCTAGATCTTCTCTCATAACTGTCCTCATTTCATCTCCTCCCCATTTCATGCTACCTCACCAGCTTTTCCTTCCCTCCTACCTTTCCAAAAGGTCAAATATTCCTAAGTTTCTAATTCTGATCTCTTTCTAACCATTTTTCCATAATGACTAAAAGATCATATTTGTTCACCTTGATTTGTGCTTTCAGTTCATCTACCTTATTCCAAATGCTTTGTGCATCAAGATACAAAAGCTTTAGGCTTGCCTTTTTGTCAAATTCCTGACCTTTCCTTATTTCTCTTTCTCTTGTCATCCTGCTTAGGTTCCCAACCCCTGCAATTCTAGTTTATACCCATTTCAACCACATTAGCAAATATTTGAGACCATTTCAATCCTGTCTATGTGTAACCTGCCCAATTTGTATTGGTCCCACCTCCCTCAGAGGTCCCAATGGCCAAGGAATCTGAAACCCTCCCCCTTGCACCATCTTACCAGCCACGTATTCAACTGTGTTATCCTGCCATCTCTACTCTGTAGCACTGGTAGTAATCCCAAGATTGCTACCTTTGAAGTCTTGCTTTTCAACTTGCTTCCTAACTTCCTACATTCAGCTTTTAGTTTGGCCTTCCTTCTTTTTAAAGCTATGTCATTGGTACCGATGTGTACCACAACCACTGGCTGTTCTCCAACCCTTGCTAGAATCTTCTATAGCCGCTTTAAGGCATCCTTGTCCCTAGCATTAGGTAGACCGCATACCATCCTGGAGACTTGTTTGCAGCCACAGAAATGCCTATCTGTTTCCCTTACAATTGAATTCTTTATAACATCTGCATTCCTACACTTTCGCTTTGTATCCCATGAGGCAGAGCCAACCGTTGTGCAACAAACTTGGCTGTTACTTGTTTCCCCTGAGAGGCTATTCCCCCCAGCAGTATCGAAATGATATCTGTTTTGCAGGGGAGTAGCCACAGGAGTTCCTGCATTACCTGCCTAATCCTGTTACTCTCCCTGGTGGTCAGCCATTCCCTTTCTGCCTGTGGAGCCTTAACTTGCAGTGTGACTACCTCTCTGTATGTGCTATCCATGATACATTCAACTTCGCTGATGCTCCCCAGTGACCCCAGCTGTCACTGCAGCTTCAAAACCTGGACTTCCAGGACCTCAACTGGAGACACTTTCTGCATATATTCTGGCCCCGGTTTCCACATAGATCAGGAGGAGTAGACCATAGTTATGAGCTCTCCTACTTATCCCTTTGGATTGAACTTTAAAGGTCTCTTAAAGATCAAATAATATCAATTAGTTTTGGGTTGTTCTTCTTTTGACCTTTTGAAAACAGAACATAACCCTTAAAAACAATAAACCACAAAATTAAGACTTTACAAACTACAAGCAATGTTAGTAGTACAAATGCCCACCGTCTGAACTCACCCAATCAGCAGTTTCCACTTGCCCAGTGACACCTTTGAAATCTGGTGTAACCTTAGAGCTCTGCCACTGGATGGGGGTGCTCCTTTGAAAGTGTTACCACAACTCTACTTGGCAAATTTGCTCTCTCTCTACCCTCTGGCACTCAGTACTATGTGTTCCTTAAGATCACTGTTTCCCCTTATGCCCCAAATTCACTAACACCTCTTCTACTAAAAAGCAGAAATATACATTAATGAAAGAAAAGGAGGGCCTGATCACCACCTCCCTGTTTAACCAATCTCCAGTTTCACTATGAAGCAACAAAGCCGCGCTGCAGTGCAGACAATGCAGCGCTGAACAAGGTCCCCCATTATGGCCCCTAATTCAAAGACTCCTGAAACTGAATTAAACTGGGTTTTTAATAAACCAGCTTCAACTGTGTACCCGTAAAGTCTTTCAGTTCTTTATTCCTGAATGATTGTGTTGTAAAGTTAAGATAACCCATAAAGTAGGTTGTTACGCTAATTAAGAGTCATAGAATCATACAGTAGGAAACAGATCCTTTATCCAAACTTGTCTATGCAACCAGGTTTCTTGAACTAAACTAGCCCCATTTGCCTGAATTTGGCCCATATCCCTCTAAACCTTTCCTATTCATATACCTGTCCAAATATCTTTCAATGTTGTAATTGTACTCGCCTCTAACACTTCTTCTGGTGACTCGTTCGAAATACCTACCACCTTCTGCGTGAAAAATTTGCCCCTCTGGTCCCTTTGAAATTTTTGTCCCTCTTGCCTTAAGCCTATACCATTTAGTTTTGGACTCCCCCCTCCCCCCCCACCTAGGGAAAAAGCCTTGGCTATTCACTTTATTTGTGTCCCTCGTGATTTTATAAACCTCTATAAGGTCACCCCTTGGCCTCCTACGCTTCAGGGAAAAATGTCCCAGCCTATCCAGCCTCTCCTTATAACTCAAACCCTCCAGTTTTGGTAACATCTTTGTTAATCTCGTTTTTGCACACTTTCCAGTTTAATAGCACGCTTCCTATCGCATGGCGACCAGAATTGCATGCTGTACTCCAAATGTGGCCTTACCAATGTCTTGTACAGCCATAACATGACGTCCCAACTCCTGTATTCAGTGCTCTTATCAATGAAGGCAAGCATGCCAAAAGCCGCCTTCACCACCCTGTCAGCCTGTGATACCACATAGTAACTATGTACCTACACCACTCTCTGTTTGACAACACTCCCCAGGGCCCTATCATTAACTGTGTAAGTCTTGCTGTGGTTCGTCTTACCAAAATTCAACACCTTGTGTTTATCTAAATTAAACTCCATCTGTTGTTCATCAGCCCACTGGCCCAGTTGATCAAGATCCCATTGTACTCTTAGATAACCTTCTTCACTGTCACTATGCCATCAATTTTGGTGTCATCTGCAAACTTACTAATGTCAGATGAATCCTTTATATATAAAAGGCAATCTATTTGAGAAAGCTTTGTACAGTACCTCATTATTGGTAACTACTGTAGTATTTATTTACAGCAATAAATTTTAGTGTGTCACATGCGATGTATTTTTCTTTTTTTCAGCTTGATATTCATTCTTGGATGTATTGAAAATCACAGCCTAACTAATGGGTACTTCACCTTATCTATCTTGTTTTTAAGGTTGAAAATTTAAAAAAGACTGTTTATGAACTTGAAGAGAAATTACATAGTGAAATAAAACTAAAGGATGAATTGGAACAAAAATGCAGGTAAGGCACCATCTCAAACTGTCCTTTCATTAGTCCATTGGAGCCCCCAATAATTTATTTAACTCTGCTTTTGGTTTGCAGCTCAAAACTTATACTAATAACAGAGATGCACATCATTTCTGAAACTACATTATGGTTAAGGGTGCTCTTGCAGGTAGTGGGCACAAATGTGCATGTTATGCTTTCCGTTTATTACAATGTCAATGGTTTTGTTTTTAGGTCAGCAAACACAAAGTTAGAAAAAATAACAAAGGAACTGGATGATGAGGTAATTTGTCTTGTATTCGTATTTGTTTACAATTTGTTCTAATTCCTATACAAGCATTGTTATTATGTTTACACAAGAACATAACATTTAAGTATTGTTGAAAAAAACAGACATTTTGTCCAAGCTTTCCATGTTGCACCCATCAGAACAATTCACAAGAAATACCAAAATCTTGAAACAAACACAGTGAATGAACATGTTCTTTCTGTCTGCAAATAATAGTGTCTTGTGAATTAAACTAATAAAATGGGTGCCAATCAATCTCTGGTTCATTTCTCCGGGCAATGCCTTGATCAGTTAGTCCACCTGCCAATTTAAAAGTTAAATAAAGCCTGAGAGTTGTCAGTCATCATTAACTGTACATTCTTTAAAGCAATGGCTCTACCAATAGGAATCTAATTGTCAACCAATTGGCTTGCCTATCTCATTAGCTAAGTATAAGTATTGTTTTCACTTGACTTTGCTGTTTCTTGCAAATTGTCCTGATGAGTGCAAGATGAAAAACTTCACAGAAGTGTGTCTTTTTTCAGCAGTACTAAAGCTTTGTGCTCCCAAATGACTGTCAACATAATATTCCAAGTTCATAAAATGTTAAAATATTTCTGTTTGTACGTTGAACATTTTAAAATGTTAGTTTGTGTTTCTGAAAAAGTGTATGAATTGTGAACAATTATCAGAAATTTTCACCAGTATGATACAATACTTATGGATCAAGATTTCTTTCTAATTTAAAACTATTGCATCCAAAATATGACAAAACTGAGGTTTAGAGATATTTGCTGGAGATTGGGTATGTTTCAGTAATGAACAATATATGAATTCTATTCCAGTTACAAAATATGTTGTATCAAAATTTGAAATTGAAACATTTTAAAATTCACATACTATAGTTTATCTGCATTTTGTTTAATGTAAAAGAAATTTTAAAAATTCATTGAGCATCACCAGTATCACATGAAACTGGCAAGTAGGTAAGTTTAGGTTTTTAGATTGATAAGGACTCACGTTGCTGAAATATCACAGCAAGTTTTTGAGTGCAGTATTTTTAGTGTAAACAGATTTATCAGAAATCTCGTAGTGAAGGACTCGCTCAGAAGTAGTAAAGTTGGAGGGAGAACAACTCCAGTCTCAAACCAGAGTCCTCAACTTAAAATAAGGTCAATCTGATATTTTCTTTTGTTTATAGAAAATGTTTCTCGATTGAGATTTTGTCTTTTTCTGCAGGTTAGTGCACAAAAATGTTTAGAGGTTAATGTGTCTCAGCTTGAAAAGGAAAAAATTATGCTACAGCACAAAATCAATGAATACCAAAGGAAAGTGGAGCAAGAGGCTGAAAAGAGACGGAACTTGGAAAATGAGGGTGAGTTCAGTGCGTTTTTTTTCTTCAAGTGTGAGGCTGGAGTTTCTCTAAATAGTTATTATGACATATGGGTAATGAATTGTAGGGAACTTGGTATTCTGGAAGAAAAGGTAAACAGGGTGGTCAGCTTTTTTAATAAAGGAGGATATCACTGTAGTGGTATGAAGTCATATAGGTGCAATAGATTATGATGTGGAAACAAGGAATATCAAGGGAAAGACATGAGAGGGAGCCCATCTGTAGGCCTCCAACAAGTTGCCTTGTTGTCTAACAAAGTGTAGATCATAGGATAATGAAAGCATGTGAGAAGGGCACTACCATTGTCATTTGTGGTATTAATCTGCATATTATCTGTACAAATCAAATGGGCAAGGGTAACTTGGAAGTCACATTTGTAGAGTACATTAGGGATTTGTTTTAGAGCAGTATGTTGCTCAACCTACCAAGGAGCAGGCTATTTAAAATTTGGTGATGTGTAATGAGGCAGGATTTATAAAAGATCTCACAATGAAGGATTCTCTCAGAAGTGGCAATCTCAACATGGTAGAATTTCAAATTCAGTTTGAGGGAGGGCAACTCCGGTCTCAAACCAGTGTCCTCAACTTAGGTAAGGGCAATTACAGAGGACATACAGGGCAATTCAGCAGAGGGCGGCGATGAAGCTGATTGGCAGTTGGGGCGAAGATTTGCATTGGCACAGTCACCAGCAGGAGAAGGAGGACCTCAGCAAGACACCTTCCAAGTTTGAGTGAGTAAGAGCGTTCAGCAGAGGGTGACAACGACTCTGGCAGTTAAGGCGAAGATTTGCATTGGCATAGTCACCACTACCAAACAGCGGTCTGTGCAAGAAGTATTATCAAACACTATTGGAGTGTTTCCCTCCCTCCCTCCCTCCCTCCCTCTGACCAACAGAAAATAGTCACTGTGAAGCCTGCAGTCGTCAGCAGCAGCAGAGTGAGTATAAACCTACTGGGGCACATTGTAGCTGTGAGAAAAAGCTGGAGTGATGTCACAGGGAGACTGCAACCTGATTCACTGGTAGGAAATCTGCACTTAATTTGAAAAAGAACACAGCCAAGAAGTATCAATAAAATTAATTAACTCAATAAAGTAATCAACTAAGTAGAAATGGCTAGACAGATGAGGTGTTGCAGCTGTATGATGTGGGAGCTGGCAGGTCCCATTGTGAACGGCAGTGACCACATCTGTAGCAAGTGTTGGTTGTTTGAGGAACTTTGGCTCAGAGTTGATGAGCTGGAATCCGAGCTTCAAACACTGTGGTTCATCGGAGAGGGGGACAAGCACCTGGACGCTGTGTTTCAGGAGGCAGTCACACCTGGTAGATTAAGTACTTCAAATTTGGTCAATGGCCAGGGACAGCAGGGAGTGACTGCAAGTGAGGCAGGTAGCGGGATCCTGCATTCAGGAACAGAGGAGCCTCAGCTCTTGACTTGTCCAACAGGTACGAGGTACTTGCTCCCTGTATGGATAAGGAAAGCAGCTCCATTGAGGTTGAGCCAACTGACCACTGCACTGTGGACGGGAGATATTCAAGATGGGGGGAGCAAAAAGACAAGTGGTAGTTGTACGGGATTCTATAATCAGGAGAATAGATAGTATCCTTTGTAAGCAGGATCAAGAGTCCTGCATGGTGTGTTGCCTGCCCGGTGCCAGGGTAAGGGATATGTCTGACTGGCTTGAAAGGATACTGGAGAGGGAGAGGGAGGATCCAGTTGTTGTGGCCCACGTCGGAACAAACAGCATAGACAAGACGAGGAAAGAGGACCTGTTCAGGGATTATCAAGAGCAAGGAATGAAATTAAAGACCAGGCCCTCAAGGGTTATAATCTCCGGATTACTACCCGAGTCACGTACAAATTGGCATAGAGACACGAGAATAAGGGAAATAAACACGTAGCTAAAAGAGTGGTGCGGGAAAGAAGGGTTCCATTTCAGGATTCGCTAGAGTCAGGGAGGGTCCCAGAGGAATGGAAAATTACTAATGTGACACCTCTGTTTAAAAAGGGAGTAAGGCAAAAGACGGAAAATTACAGGCTGATTAGCCTAACCTCGGTTGTGGGTAAGATTTTAGCGTCCATTGTGAAGAATAAGATTTCTGAATACTTGGAAATACATGGTAAAATAGGGCAATGTCACCATGGCTTTTTAAGGGGTGGTCATGCCTGACAACTCTGTTAGAATTCTTTGAGGAAATAATGCGCAGGTTAGACCAAGGGGAGCCAATTGATGTTCTGTATCTGGGCTTCAAGAAGGCCTTTGACAAGGTGCCGCACAGGAGGCTGCTGAGTAAAATAAGGGCCCAGGGTGTTAGAGGCAAGGTGCTAGCATGGATAGAAGATTGGCTGTCTGGCAGAAAGCAGAGAGTGGGGGTTAAAATGGCCTTTCTCAGGATGGCAGCTGGTGAGAAGTGGTGTTCCGCAAGGGTCAGTGCTGAGACCACAACTTTTCACTTTAAACATTAATGATCTAGATGAAGGAACTGAGGGCATTCTGGCTAAGTTTACAGACGATATAAAGGTAAGTTGTGGGACACGTAGTACTATGGACATGGGGAGGCTGCAGAAGCATTTGGACAGGTTAGGAGAGTGGGCAAAGAAGTGGTAGATGGAATACAACGTGGGAAAGAGTGAGGTCATGCACTTTGTTAAGAAGAATAGAGGTATGGACTATTTTCTAAATGGGAAGAAAATTCAGAAGTCTGAAATGCAAAGAGACTTGGGAGTCCTAGTCCAGGATTCTCTCAAGGTAAACTTGCAGGTTGAGTCAGTAGTTAGAAAGGCAAATGCAACTTTGGCATTTATTTTGAGAGAACTGGAATATAAAAACAGAGATGTACTTCTGAGGCTCTATAAGGCTCTGTTCAGGCCACATTTGGAGTATTGTGCGCAGCTTTGGGCCCCAAATCTCAGGAAAGAGATACTAGCCCTGGAGCGGGTTCAGAGGAGGTTCACGAGAATGGTCCCAGGAATGAAAAGCTTAACATATGAGGAACTTTGGAGGACTCTGGGTGTGTACTCGATGGAGTTTAGAAGGATGTGTCATGGGTCTAATTGAAACTTACAGAATACTGAATGGTCTGGACAGAGTGGATGTTGGGAAGATGTTTCCATTGGTCGAAGAGACTACGACCCGAGGGCACAGCCTTAGAATAAAGGGAAGACCTTTTAGAACAGAGATAAGGAGAAACTTCTTCAGCCAGAGAGTGGTGAATCTATGGAATTCACTGCCACAGCGGTCTGTGAAGGCCAGGTCATTGAGTAGGTTTAAGATGGAGATAGATAGGTTCTTGATTGTCAAGGGGAATCAAAGATTATAGAGGGAAGGCGGGAGAATGGGGTTGAGAAACTTATCAGCCATGATTGAATGGCGGAGCAGACTCGATGGGCTGAATGGCCTAATTTCTGCTCCTATGTCTTTCAGTCTTATGGAATGAAGAATGAAGTGGGGTGGGAAGATAGACTAAAGGGAAGTTCAGTCAATCAACAATGGCAGACATTTAAGCAGATATTTAAAAATGCTCAGCAAAAATGTATTCTGATCAAAAATGACTCTGAGAAAGATGAACCACCCATAGCTAATAAAAGCAGTCATGAAGTGTATCCAGTCAAAAACTAAGGCATACAAATTGGCATAAACTAATGGTTAGCCAGAGGGCTGGGATTTTGTTTTAGGAACCAGGAACAGATAATTAAAAAGTTATCAACTGGGGAGAAAATTGATTATGAAAATAAATTGGCAAGAAACTTAAACAGCTAAAATTTCCACAGGTGTCTAGAAAATGTGTAGCTGAAGTGAGTGTTAGATCCTTGGAGGATGTGACTGAGAAATTGATAACAGCAAACACAGAAATGACAGATAATTTAAACCAATGTTTTGCATTGATCTTCATGATGGAGGATACAATAAACATCCCAAAGATATCAGATAAGCAAGATACTAATGGGAGGAAAGCTCTTGTAGCAGATTTTATCTCAAGGGACAAAAATGTTTGATACTAATGGAATTGAAGACAGACATGACGCCTATATCCAAGGGTTTTAAACGAAGTGCTTCCATCAATAGTGTTGCTATTGGTTGATATATTCTAGAACTCAGTAGATTCCAGAGGGATCCAGCAAATTCAAAGCTAACGGTGTGATGAGCCTATTCAAGAAGGGAGGGAGACAGAAAGCAGGAAACTATGGGCCAGTTAGCCTAACATTTGTCATTGGGCTAATGCTGAGTCTGTTATTAAGGAAGAAATAGCGGAACATTTAGAAAAGTTTAGATGAATTAGACAGAGTCAGCATAGTTTTGTGAAAGAGAAATCATGTTGGCCAAATTTATGGTAGAACAAACAGATTTGCTAAAAGGGAACTAACAGATGGATGTCCAGAAGGTAGTTGACAAGGCACCATATAAAAAGTTATTACACAAGCCAGGAGCTCACAGTGTTGGAGGTAATGTCTTTATGTGGATCGAGGATTGGTTAAACACAGAAAACCGAGGGTTGGGATTATTGCACCTTTGTCAGGTTGGAAAAATGTAATTGGAGGGTGCCACAAGGATCAGTTCTAGGAAATCAATCATTTATGATTGCTATTAATGACAGAGGAGGGGCATTGTAACTGTGCATGTTTAGTCTGCTTCTTTAAAGCACTTCCTGTTGCCTTGCTCATTACCTTAACCAAGCTTCACTTGCTCTTGCCCAGTGTCTTTTACAAACCCTTTGTTTCCTCCCATGCCCTTACACTCTTGTTGTTTCTTGCTCACAGGCCCTCACTCAAGCTCTTGCTTAAGGACTTGGAGAGGAAGAGCAAGAGGAAATCAGTGAATGGTGTGGCTTCTGATTGGAATGAGGGGTAGTGAATGAGGTGGTGACAGAGCTAGTTTGTGGGAGAGAGCAAAGGGGGATTGGAGATTAAAACGGCGAGTGGAAGAACATGACGGAGAGGGAAGTGGCGAGGGAGTCAAAAGATGGGTACAAAGCTAGAGGGAACAAAAACAGTAAAAAGCTCAGCAAGAGGGACAGCAAGTAAGGGGCAGTGAGGTGTCCAGCAGATAGAAGTAGTAAGTGCAAGAAATGATGGGGTTGGGAGGGGGAAGCATCAAGTGAGAGACGGATCTGGAGATGGGAAGCACTGAGTGGGGTGTAAATGTGAAGAAGAATTTTGGGTCAATTAAGTTGAAGAAACACTTTGGTTTTTAATGCAAAAATTATAGGTCAGGCACGTAAAGCATGTCATTACATGTTTTCATATAGAAAAATGATTTTCATTTAGCACATTTTGTTTGGCACACTGTTGTTTTGGAAAACCTAATTACAATACTTCTAACAATGTAGATGTCCAATTCAGGTACAATAAAAGAGGGTTCTCAGAATACAAGTGCAAGTCACAAAACCTGGCAATAGACAAAAATAATGATATTTTAAAGAAAACTCATATAAGCAATTAGTGTGTTATTAATGGGAAATTGAATTGAGCAATAGAAAATTTATGCCAAGCTTGTACAGAATTTGGTTAGGCCATCTTGCACCACGACCAAGAACACCTATTTCATCTCTGTAACCTTCCAAATATTTTCTCTGTTTCATCTGCTCCTGAAATCTGCATCTATGACTTGGATATCTCTAGACTTTGCTTTTTCCAATCACTCCTGCTTGCCGCCCACATTTTATCTTCTATATACTTCAGTTTATCCAAAATCCAATGACTGTTGACCTTAACTCTCAGAAAGACTGTTTCACACAACTTTGCTCACTGACTGACATTTTACTCCAGGTTAACTAATGCATAAGTATCTAAAGTTTCATGTTGTATACAAGTTCCCTCCCCATTGGCCTTTCCTCTCTCTATTTCTGTAATCTCTAGCCCTCCACACTCTGAGATGACTGCATTTTTCCAATTCTAGTCTCTCTGACGTCCTTGATTTAAATTTTTCTACTGTTGGTGGCCATGCCTTCAGCTGCCTAGTCTCTCTGCTTTTCTTCTCCTCTTTGCTTCTTTAAGTTGCTCCTTACAATCCACCCTTTGACTGAACTTTTGTGTAATTTCCATAATATATGGCTCAGTATCAAATTTTGCTTTTCATCATCCCTGCAAAGAACCTTGGGATGTTTATTTCATTAAGACACAATACAAATACAAGTTGTTGAGTGCCAGTGCCTCTACAGCATACTGGTTTTGATTTTTCACATTTGTTGGTTAGACAAAGAACAAAGAAAATTACCACACAGGAACAGACCCTTCGGCCCTCCAAGCCTGCACTGGCATACTGCCCGTCACCACTAAAACCCCCTACCCTTCCAGGGACTGTATCTCTCTATTCCCATCCTATTCATGTATTTGTCAAGCTGCCCTTTAAAAGTCACTATCGTATCTGCTTCCACTACCTCTCCCGGCAGTGAGTTCCAGGCACCCACCACCCTCTCTGTAAAAAAAAAAATTTGCCTGATACATCACCTTTAAACCTTGCCCTTCACACCTTAAACCTATGACCCCGATAACTGACTCTTCCACCCTGGGAATAAGCTTCTGACTGTCTGCTCTGTTTATGCCGTTCGTAATCTTGTAGACCTCTATCAGGTCGCCCTTCAACCTCTGTCGTTCCAGTGAGAACAACCCAAGTTTCTCCAACCTGTCCTCATAGCTAATGCCCTCCATACCAGGCAACATCTTGGTAAACCTTCTCTGTACCCTATTCAAAGCCGCCACATCTTTCTGGTAGTGTGGCAACCAGAATTGGGCACAATATTCAAAATGCGGCCTAATTAAGGTTCTATAAAGCTGCAACATTACCTGCCAATTTTTAAACTCGGTGCCCCGGCCGATGAAGGCAAGCATGCCGTAGACCTTGTTGACTACCTTCTCCACCTGTGTTGCCACTTTCAGTGACCTGTGTACCTGTACACCCAGATCCCTCTGCCTTTCAGTACTCTTAAGGATCCTGCCATGTACGGTATATTTTCCATCTGGATGAGACCTTCCAAAATGCATTACCTCACATTTTTCTGGATTAAACTCCGTCTGCCGTCTCTCTGCCCAAGTCACCAACCAATCTATATCTAGCTATATCCTTTGACAGTCCTCATCACTATCCGCAATTCCACCAACCTTTGTGTCATCGGCGAACTTGCTAATGAGACCAGTTACATTTTCCTCCAAATCATTTTATATGTTACAAATAGCAAAGGTCCCAACACTGATCCCTGAGGAACATCACTAGTCATAGCCCTCCATTCAGAAATGCACTTTTCCACTGCTACCCACTGTCTTCTATGACCGAGCCAGTTTTTTCATCCATCTTGCAAGCTGACCTCAGACCCCGTGCGACTTTACCTTCTGTATCAGCTTGCCATGAGGGACCTTGTTGAATCCCTTACTGAAGTCCATGTAGACAACATCCACTGCCCTATCCTCATCGATCATCTTCGTCACTTCCTCAAAAAGCGCAACCAAGTTAGTGAGATGTGACCTGCCCTTCACAAAACCATGTTGCCTCTCGCTAATATGCCCCCTTATTTCCAAGTGGGATTAAATCCTGTCTCAAAGAATCCTTTCCAATAATTTCCCTACCACTGATGTAAGGCTCACTGGCCTGTAATTAGCTGGATTACCTTACCACCCTCCTTAAACAAAGGAACAACATTGGCTATTCTCCAATCCTCTGGGAGCTCACTGTAGCCAGTGAGGATACAAAGATTTCCCTCAAGGCCCCAGCAATTTCCTCCCTTGCCTCTCTCAGTATTCTGGAGTATATCCCATCAGGCCCTGGGGACTTGTCTACCTTAATGTTTTTCAATACCCCCTAAACCACCTTCCTTTTGATCTCAACATGACCCAAACTATCCACACACCCTTCCTCAGATTCAACATCCACCAAGCCCTTCTCTATGGTGAATACTCATTTAATACCTCGCCAATTTCCTCTGGCTCCACACACAAATTCCCTTCCCTGTTCCTGAGTGGGCCAACCCTCTCCCTGGCTACCCTTTTGCTCTTTATATATGTATAATAAGTCTTGGGATTGGCCAATGAGTTTTCATGACCCCTTTTAGCCCTCCTGACTCCTTGCTTAAGTTTCTTTCGACTTCCTTGTATTCCACCCTTGCTTCGTGTGTTCCCAGCCTCCTAGCCTTGATAAATGCTTACTTTTTCTTTTTGATTCGGCTCATAATATCTCTCGTTATCCAAGTACAGAATTATGTAGCATGTAGAAGGCCCTTTCGTATTTCAGGTCCAAAATATGTCATGTTAGAAACTTTATTAACATTTGCACCTATTAGAAATTCATTTAATAGAAAATCCCTTACACAATGGTCTATATTTCATTGATTGGGTTGTAATTTTTGATTTGTTTTTCCCTGTAGTATCTACACTAAAGGAGCAACTTGAGGACTTAAAGAAAATGAATCAGAATTCTCACATTTCAAACGAGAAAATAGTTCAGTTACAAAAACAAGTAAGTTCTAAACCCATATACTGAAGTTTTTCAACATAAAATAAAGCAAGATACGACTGAAAAATGTAATTCTATTGTTCGTAGTTAGAAGAAGCGAATGCTCTGCTGCGATCTGAATCTGACACAGCAGCGAGGTTACGGAGGAACCAAACTGACTTAACAAAGACCATGAGCCAATTAGAGATTGTAAATAGTGAACTGCAGGAGAGAAACCGAGTTTTAGAAAATGCCAAACTACAGCTGGAGAAGGATATTATCCAGCATCAATCTGCTTTGGAATCTGAAAGAAGAGTTCGCAACCAGGGCTCAGAGATGATCAATGATTTGCAAGGTAATTAATATTTGGAAATTGATATTTGTTAAGGATATCTAGCCATCTGTGATCTTTGGACTGTTCTCTTCCTGAATGCAAGTAGGGAAATTTGTCTCCTCTTCCTCTGGTTTCCTTCCAGGAATAATTATTGTTTGATCAGCACCATAGTGGCAGTGCGGAACTCGTTGAAGTAGCATGCTCAATCAATCTGTAGTGTTGCTTTTTTTAATTAAACCTATTTTTCTAACTAGCCTGTTCAGAGACGTTATTACATACCTCTGGAGCAGGTGGGACTTGAACCCAGATCTCCTCGTCCAGGGGTATTGGCACCTCTGTGCCACAAGAACCTGGTATTCCCAGGCAGCCTCCTATCCAAATACCAATCAGGCCTGAGTCTGCTTAACTTCTGAGATCAGACAAGATTGAACGTTTTCACATTAGTATGGCAGTAGGTTTGTTTCTTTCTGGAAGGAACATGCTGTGGCGACCGTGGAGGTCGCTGTCCCAGGTTTTGCTCGTAGAGGAAAGTACCAAATTTCCACAGATGTGTCAGTGGAGATTTCCCTTTGACCTTCAGCTTCAGAGTGGTATCCCTTGTTCTGTGAACTTCAAAGCTTTTTAGAATCCCTGGAGTGCAGAAAGAGGCCATTAGGCCCATTGGGTCTGTGCCAACCCACCAAGGAGCATCCCATTCAGACCCAGTCCCCTTCCCTATCCCTGTAACCCTGCATGGTTATATGGCTAATCCACCTAACTTGTCCATCCCTAGTCACTACGGACAATTTAGCTTGGCCAATCAATCTAACGTGCATGTCTTTAGACTGTGGGAGGAAACTGGATCTCTTGGTGGAAATTCATGCAGAAACGAGGAGCACGTATGAACTCCATACAGTCACCCAGGGCTGGAATCAAGCCAAGGTTCCTGGTGCTGTGAGGCAGCAGTGCTAACCACTGAGCCACCATGCTTTCTGACGAACTAAAATGAAAATCCTTGTGGAAACACGAATGCTGCAAAATTGGGATCTACAGTGCTAATTTGGTTACTACAGGTGCTGTTTTGGGACCAAAATGCTGCTTCTCGTACATATACACTTTTGGGGCATGTCATGCCTTGTTGGGTGTTAGCATGTGCACAATAACTGTGATAGAAACAGTTAAGGCAAGCAGATCATGATGCGTTCACTGATTTAATGGCAGTGGTATCCTGTCCTTTTAAACTTCAGTGCTCCAGATTATGCGTTCTCTTAACCTTACATGGTTGAATAATCATTCAACGGTGGGAAGACATTTTATCTAATCCATTTAAAAGAATTATCAACTGTTTACACATTAATTGCAGGTTAATATATGCTATCTGTTGCTCAGATTCCATCATATGTTGATGTTTTGTGTAGGTTAAAGTTGTAGAAGCTTTACTGACTTGAAGACATAGGGTCCTACCCATTGCTCTCCGACATTCATGCAGTTCTATTACAGTTCAGCATGATTTGGCAAAGGAACAAAGGGCATGCAGAGCAGGGCAGGCTGTTAAGAAGAGTAGATATCATGCACATTCTCTCCTAACAGGAGAGCATGTCAGTCCGGGATGTTTCTGAAGTTATTCTCCCAGTTGACGCTCAGGGAGGAACAATTAGTTGAATATCTATGCTTCAGTAAGGACAACCTATTAAAATCTCCCATCTCCTGCAACATCAAAACAGGGAAAGGTACCAATGTTATTGGCTGTCAAGGTAACAGGGATGATGAACTTTTACTTGTCTGCCTTCTTTGAGATGGGAGTTGGATGTACATGCAATAACTCCACCTTGTCATTTGCTGTGGCAGAGGGATGGTCATTGGTGCCCTCTATTCATTGAGCCTTAATGAAATGTTGTTCTCTTTGCTAGAGGAACACCTATATATAACATATATAACTAGGATTCTAGGCTATCCCATGGTAAACTTTGTTTTCCAGGCAGCATAGATCATCTGTGCCTTACTCTGAAACCAGCTGGGGGTATGACCATATATCGAGAATCATGCAGTTCAATGTTTGATACCCTGCCAGCAATCAGGATGTCTTCACTCTTTGGTAGTTCACTGTACCATCTGCATTTGAACCATTACAGCAAACCAAAGAGTGACTATTGGGCAATGTGCAAGCTTCTATTAGCTACTAATCAATTCCTATACATTTCTTTGCCGCTCTCATCCCTTTTTTATTGAATTTCCTCCCTACTTTCACCATTCAGCTTGATTCTCTATTGTTCCATGAAACTTAGATTTCATAAAATATCATTTTCAGTCTTGTTTTAGCTATATTATCTTTAGACATCCAGTGAATTAGAGCTTTGGATGCCCTTCCTTTCCCCTGTGGGAGTGTGTCCGTACTCTCAAATAAATGTTCCTTTAATTCCCTTCATTCAGTTACTGTTTTGTCTACCATGCTTTGGATTCCAATCCACCTGGTCCAGATTTCAACTCCCTGAAGTGGGTAGCTGTATTCCAATTGAATATTTGTATGCTTGAGTCTTCCTTGCGTTTTCCACATTTATTCTAAACCTAGTGGCATTATTATAATTGTTCCTATGAAAATACAAGTTGCTGCTCCTCAAATGCTGTTTGATTGAAACCTGCTCCACTAGCCCAGCCTCATTCACCAGAAGTAGACCCAGTATTGTTTCCTTCCTCAGTGAACTGGAAACATGCTGTTTAAGAAAGTTATTTTGAATGCATTTGAGCTATTCAACTGCCCTCTCCTGTTACATTAATAGTTTCTTAATGTTAACCAAATAAGGCTGTTTTAGGAAAAAAGAATAAATGGGTCATTTTTCGAGTGGCAGCCAATGAGGGGTACTGAGGGAATCAGTGCTTAGAACCCAGCTAGTCACAAGATATTTTAATGATGTAGATGAGAGAACTTCATATAATAACTCCACATCTGCAAATGACACAAAAGTGGGTGGGAGAATGAATGGTGAGGAAGATACAGAGATGGTTAATTGTGGTTTGGACAAGTTGGGTGAATGGACAAATGCATGACAGATGAAGTATAATGTGGATAAATGTAAGGTTATCCACTTTTGTAGCAAAAACATAAATGGGGATTAATATTTAAATGGCAATAGATCGGAAAAGGGGGAGGTGCAACAAGACCTTGGTGTTTTAGTACACCAGTTGCTAAAAGTAAACATGCACATGCAGCAGGCAGTGAAGAGGGTAAACCGTATACTTGTCATCATATTGAGAGGATTCGAGTACAGGAACAGGACTGTCTTGCTGAAACTGTACAAGGCCTTCATGAGACTGCACCTTGAGTGTTGTGTGCAGTTTTGGTCTCATTATCTGAGAAAGGATGTAATGTATAGAGTAAATCTTTTTTATTTTACAAGACAGTAGATAGTAATCATGCATCAAACCAGGTCAAGTGAGAATGGAAGCAAGTTGGAGGTGCAAAAGCAATAAAAGAAAAGGCAGGGAAGGAGGTTACATAGTAGAGGTGCTGAGGAATGGATAGAAAATGATAAACAGGAATATCAGAGTGAAACCTCGTCATCTTCCTTGCAATAAGATTAAAATCATCATTGAAATATTATACTTTATATAAATAAGGATGTAAATGAATTTATTTTAACAGCGCAGAAGAAATCTGGGCCCTGGATCTACCAGTTCTTTGCTGCAGCAATCCAGATGTTAAATCCAAACTGCAATAATTTCTTTCCAGAGCATTTTTTAATTTTCCTTTGCTTCAGTTTTTCAAAATCATTTTTCCTTTGCAAGATGTAATGGTCTTTACCCCAACAACTCGATGAATTTTCCACAGATTTATTTCCTAATCTTTCCTTGCTATTAGCTATCATTTGATGCAAACCCATTTCTAGTCCTGTAACATACAGGTTTTTTCCCTTCTTTTGGTTGAACTCGAAATTTTTTTTATAATTTTTACTCTTCAGATCTCTGGTCCTTAAGACCCGTGTTGGGATATGTTGACAGATATTATAAGTCCTGCCAGTGCTTCCCCCAAATAGCCGTTCAATTATAAAATGTGATGATGATCATCAGAATAGATTCACAACAATGTCTGATTTTGAGTACTTGTACTGGGTATTGGCTTTGTCTACATAGTCTCTGGAGTTGGGGGTGAATTTTGTTGGATTAGGCTTTTGCTGTATCCTTTATTTAATTCTCTAAGTACAATGAATAATGAGATAACGGCAATTTTCTTTTTTAGCTCGGACCACTTCTTTACAAGAAGAACTGAAAATGATTAAAATTAACCTTTCAAAAGCGGAGATGGAGAAGAAACAGGCACACGACAAGCTTAGCAACCTGGAAAAGGTAACTAATGAAGAACTTGGATAATACCTGACAAAGGATCATCAATCTGAAATGTTAATTCTATTTCTCTCTCCATTAATGTTGCCAAACCTGCTGAGCATTCCCAGCATTCCAGCTTTATTTCATACAAACTGGGCAATGCATCTGAAGTCTGGAAAAATAGAAGTTACAACTAAGTTCTTATAAAACATTTTCTTTGTCAGTTTTTTTGAAATAATAAGCTGACATAATCATTCTATGGACAGATAGGCATCAAAAATTCACTTAATTGCCTTCTTTCACATAGCAGTTTTAATTAACAATGTTAATCCCATAATTATGAAACACAAATACCTAAGTTCAGACAAAATTAATTTTTTCAATGTTCAGTACTACTCTGAATATTTCACCATCAGCGTCAATGGCAGCGTTAGATCATTCTCTACATTTTCAGTATAATTAGGTGGAATCCTGTGAAGAGGTAGCACATGTTCTTGGCACTAAGAACAAAGGAGGTAGTGAGACCCCACTTCTAAGAAGGCCATTCAGGAATTTTCCATCACTGACTTCATGAAAATTGAGGCTGGAAAGCAGCATGGTCACCACAATCCCACATTTAAATGCCTGCTAAACCTTCCTCAGTGACGAGCATATTACCCATTTTTGCAGTTTCAGTATTTGTTGAAACATTAAATATTTCATGATGAGTGACATCAGAAGCTCTTCCTTCTTGATTGAAAATAAGAAAAAAATTTGGCAATTCTACTCAACTGTTATGTTTTCTGATGCCTTTCAAGAAATGGTTAATTTTTTTTATTGTTTCCATTAAAAAAAAAAGGATTTTTGGATCAGGTTGCTCTCTCAAGGGTGCCAGTTGTACTTTAGTGTTTATGCAACAGATTGGTGGCTGTTTTTCCATCACTTGGCACCACCATGTTCACATACCTGATCTATTGCTAAATTGTATTCTGGGTCTGATTGATAATATTGGTGAAGATCACAAATGAAAGCTCCCTTAAAGAGTCTTGTACTATTAGTTGCTGTACTGATTTGTCTTGGGTACTGTTACTCTCTGTCAGATTTTTGACTGTTTGTTCTAATGTCTTCATCCTCCTCAACCCTGTGATTTCCGTTATTGAACATTAAAATGGGGTGTTTCAGGAGTTAACCGACGTGGAACAAATAAAATAAGAAAAGAAGAAAATGATGTATGAAAGAAAGTTGCGGAGCCGTATAATCAGTTGCTTGAAAGTAAGCATGCAGGCGCAGTAGTCAGCGAAGAAGGCAAATAATATTTGTGAATTTGAGTACAAGAGTAGGGATGCCTTATTGAAATTATATACAGGGCCTTGGTGAGACCACACCTGGAGTATTGTGTGCAGTGTTGGCGTCCTGATCTGAGGATGGATGTTCTGCCAATGGAGGAAGTACAACAGAGGTTTACCAGACTGATTCCTGGGATGGCAGGATTGACCCATGAAGGGAGACTGGATTTGTTAGAAGATATTCACTGGAGTTTAGGAGAAAGAGGGGTTTCTCATAGAAACCTATAAAATTCTTACTTGACAGAGTCTTCGCAGGAAGGATGTTCCCAATGACTGAAGAGTCTAGAAACAGGCCATTTGAAGATTGAGTTGAGAAGAGATTTCTTCTTCCAGTGGTGATCCTGTCACAGAAAACAGTTGAGTTAAAACATTGAGTGTTTTCCAAGAAGTCATTAGATACCTTTCCTAAGGTTAAAAGGATCAAAGTGTATGGGGTGAAAGCAGGAGTAGGGTACTGAGTTTGATGATAAGCCATGATCATATTGAATGATGAGTAGGATTGAAGGGCTGAATGGCCCGCTACTATTTTCTACATTTCTATTTACAACATCAGGGATGCAGTGTTTGCAGTGCCACAGGATCCTTTCGTAGGCCAAAATGACCTCCCTCCACCCCAGCTCCATCAGCTGCTCTCTGTGATATGCCCCTTGATGTAAAGTACCATCCCACTAAGATTGGTTGGGAATGACCACAGGACTTTGGTAGAATTTGCCAACAAACGGACAGACATTTTGCTTTCATGTATATCTAGATTTCCTAGATAATATCTGTGTGGTTTACTTGAAATTAATGTTATTTGTTTTGTTGATTGCTTTAACACTTCCAATGCTTCAACGTTTTTTCCAAAAGTGGAAGTTTTTTTAAAATTAAGTTCACAACATAGCATATGGACAATAACTGTCATCTGTATAAGATCTTACTCCTTAAATGTTGTGGACAAAAACTCCAAGTAGCAAAATGAACTTTCTATATGATCTTGCTTAAAGAAAATTACATTTGACAATGAATATCTAAAATGATGCCTTCTATATCTTGCTATGTTTATTGCTATGAGATCAGGTAGCTTTTTGTAACTATCACAAGTGGGTACCTGATAGAATCCATGAATAATTGCATTCACATGTGAGAAAGCACGTGCCTTTACTTGACACTTTCCATAGCAGTACAGTTCATGCTGATAATTCTGTGTGAACAACTGTAGAAATCTTTTCTTGTCATTTTCAGTTGCACCAAATAAAACAATGGTACCATTACTTACTTAATCTGTTATGCTTACTGTGTGTAATAATTCTGAGATTTGTTTTCACAGGAAAAGAATAATATGGAAATAGACTTGAATTACAAAAATAAGATGTTACAACAGCAGCTAGATCAAGAAATTACAGAGCACAAAGTAACTAAAGCACGATTGTTAGATGAGTATGAGTCCATAGAAGAAGCAAGATCGGTGGCCATGAACGGTTAGTATTTGCTACGATTGTTTTACATGCAAGTAAATTCAAGTACCTCAGTTTAAATCTGGGGCCAACCTCATACATTCAGCACACATCAGACTTTTCTACTCGTAAGTGAGTAAATTATTGAATTGTGTCACCCCTGACATTGATACAAATATACTGACGATAAATATCCAGAATGAAATTCATTGTTTAGTGGATTTTTTAGGCTGTCTTAATGATGAGTTTTCTTTTCCTGGTAGAATGGATCATTCAAAGTGTTAACACAGGCCAGAAAATCTTTATAGAATATTCATCAATAGTTTTGCTCTCTGGTTGTTGTTTTGAATGGTTTCAATTTTTTTACGGCATGAATGCTGAAAGATGTTAGTCATGTTAGTGTGCATTTTTTTAAAAAAAAAAATTTCAATCCACATGGTTAAGGAGAACCACCAATTCGACTGGGACAACACCAAAATCCTGGGACAAGCTAAGCAGAGGCAGGCACGGGAATTCCTAGAAGCGTGACACTCCACGAAGAAAGCCATTGATAAACGCATAGAACTCGACCCCATATACACTCCACTACGAAGGAAAACCGGAAGTGAGGCAATCCAGCTCAATAGACTCCAGAGTTTAAAAACCAGGCGGGAAAACACACCGACGCTTCATCGGAGGCTGCACTGATGATGTTACCCAGCATGGTAACGAAACGTCTGTGGAACAACAAACCAGCTCGGCGAGCCAACCAACCTCATCATCATCAAAATATGTGTATGAAGCAGCTTTGATCTGGACTGAATAAAACAATTATTTCTAGTATCAATTTACTGTTATGACTTCCTAATACAATTGTACAACTGTGAGGTCTGAAATGTCATATTTCCCACTTGTTTGGCTATTATAAATAATCAAACTATTAGCCAATTGTTGAAAAAACACTCAATCCTGCACAACCCCCACCTCAACTATTATGATTTTACTTGCAGTTGAGATTTTATGAAATTTCATTTAGTGGTTTTATTAATACAATGCATGATCTATAATCGTTTCTGGCATTTTAATGTCATGAGTCCATAACAAAATAGACATTTTAATATTTGTGTTATCTGAAAAATAATTTTATACTAATTTGTTATTGTTCAGAAATGGATAACAAGCTGAGAGAGGAGAGAATGTCCAGACAGAGAGCAGAAAATTATGCGATGGAAGTGGAGAAAAAGCTTTCTATGTCGGAAGTTGACTTAAAGCAGTTCCAACAAAAAGTGGAGCAGCTCAGTAAGCAAAAAGAGAGATTGGAAGATGAGGTAAGAGGATAAAAAAGCAATGTTTATAACCATTATGGAATTTCTTCTAAATGTGTGCCATTTAGTTTAACATTTTAATCCTACAGTAGGTATATCAGAAAAACACCATGAGGGTAAAATGTACGTTCTATATCTGTTTTAGCTGCAGAAAGCCTCAAACTTGAGCAAAGCATATAGGTAATTTTTATGAGAACTGGTACTGTTACATTACTTTCGTTTGTATGACATGCATATTGCTGTGAATTTGTTTTTAAGAATAATTTTGTGGAGCTGTTATTTTATAACTTTGTACTATTGGAGGAGGACAAGGAAGAGTTACCAGAGTTTCAAAAGAGATACAGAGTTGAATACAAACTTAAAACCCTTAGTATCTCAAGGGAAGGCATATTTAGAAACTAATTTAAATGACTTTCCACTTGTCGATAGATTCATTCATTTGGAGTTGAGTGAGGGGATTATAGATCTATTCACCAATGTCTCAAAGTGAGAGAAGTAGTAAGTTAAAAAGTGGAGTCTGAATAAGGGAGAAGGTAATGAAGTCTAAATCAGTCTTGCACTACATGTATGTGAATCTGGCTTAAGGTTGGATGTTAAATATTTGTGATTAAAACGTATTCAGAAAAGGTAGGAAAGAAAGAAAATAAGGCAAGGTAGTGCTTTTTATTAAGGAAAGCATTGCAATACTGGAGAAAGAGGGTTCAAGGGCAGATTTCACTAGACCAAAGGAATAAGAAGGGTGTATTTGCGTTGCTCAGTATATTCTGTAGACCACCAAATATTGGGAAGGGCACAAAGAAGCTGCAAGAAAATTACAGAGAGATGTTAATATTATAGAGTAGTTACAGTGGGGGACTTTAATTATCCATGTGTAGACTTGGATAGTGGTCATGGTAGAAAACCAAAGGATGGGTATTCTTTGTATTCAGGAATACAGGAATATTTCCTACAGTAGTATGTGTTCAATCCAACAAGAAAGAAAATGCTGTTAGACCCGGATCTTGGGCGTATGGTGGGCCAAGTAGAGCAAGTAACAATGGGGGAACATTGAGGGATAAGTGATCATTATATCTTAAGGTTGGGATGACAGTGGAAGATAACATTGGTCAATTCAGAGTAAGAATAAATCAATTAGTAGAGAGTGGATTTCAATGGCACAAGAATAGAGCTGGGCCAGATAGACTGAAACCAAATGTTGGTGGGAAAATTAGTAGCTGAACAATGGGTTGCCTTTGGAAAGAAGATTTTGTTTTGGGCACAGTCCAGTAATATTTTCCCAAAAGGGAAAAGTAGAACAATAACTCCAGAGCTCCCCAGGTAACAAAAGATAAAAAAAAAGTTAAAGTAGAAAAGTGTGCTTTTGACAGGTGCCAGGTATACATATACTTGAGAGTCAAACTAAATACAGAAAGTTCAGTGGGGAGATGAAAAAGCAAATAACATAACCAACAAAACTGGTAGTGAACATAAGTCATCGGTAAGTGCATCAATGATAAAAGGACCAATTAAGGACCAGAAAGGACTTTTACACATGCGGGCAAGGAACATGGCTGAAATGTTTAATTTAACATTTCGCATCTGTCTTTACCTGTCTTTATGTGTGAGGCAAATGCTTCTGGGCCGTGGAGAAAGAGGAAGATATTCAGTCATTAGTCAAGTTTAGAACTGGAATAGTAAGTATAGCATAAGCTGTCAGTGACTTGGCACAGGAGTCGTAAACTATACGTAAAGGAGCAGAAGTAGCCCATGCAGCCCCTCATGTCTCATCCACCATTCAAGAACATCATAACTGATTTGACTGTCCTCAAATCCACTTTCCTGTCTTTTCCTCATAATCCTTGATTCCCTTACTGATTAAATTCTGTCTCTCTCAGCCTTGAATATACTTAACAACCCAACTTCTACAACCTGCTGTGGTAAAGAATTCCACAGATTCACAACCACCAAGAGAAGAAATTCATGCTCAACTCATTGTTAAATGAGTAGTCCATTATTCTATCAGGGATAGTAGGAACTGCAGATGCTGGAGAATCTGAGATAACAAGGTGTAGAGCTGGATGAACACAGCAGGCCAAGCAGCATC